AAACCCACGGCTACTTCCTTGCAGCTCAGCTCCAAAGTGGTTTCCACAGAAAAACTCAAACGCCCTCTGTCACCACAAACCATTTGTAGTACTGGCTCCAAGTCCTCACCCACGTCTCTGTCCCACTCTAGCTCAGCTCTCTCAGTTGTGCCCTAGGGGAAGGTCTGTGGTTAAAGAAACTTGGTCCTAGGCTGGCCTTGAACTCACAAAGATCTGCCTGCCTCTGCTTCCCGAGTGCTGGGATTAAAGGCCTGAACACCCAGTTCCATTTAATGTTCTTATTTTAAAATGTTTTACTAGGTGAAAGTTCCATCTATTCATACATTATGTATTGCTCGTGCCCACCCCACTCTTCCTCGCTTCCGCTCTCTTCTATGTGCCCCGACTGTCTCCCAACTTCATGTCATCTTTGTTTTTTAAGCTGTCGTTAGTAATCACTGAGTCCAGTTAGTGCTGCACATGTGGGCATGGACTTGGGACATCTCCTGCGGCATGTGTAGCCTGCCAGTGGCTGGTAGCTCTTCAGGCAGTATCTTCAGAGGAAGGGTACCGACTCCTCGTATGTGCTTTCAAACTTCTTTCCGAGGCACTAAACTAATGCCTAGAGTTAATGCTTAGCATTTGTGTGGAAGGACACCTGCCAGCAGAGAGCCTGCCTGGACACCACGAGTGCGCATCATCTTCAGAAAAAATCTACAAGTTTCATAAAAAGATGAAATTTTGGTCGCTGAAAAAAAGAGAGAGACAGAGACAGAGAGAGACAGAGAGAGAGAGAGACTTGGTCTCACCTTCCAGTATCCGCCATGTTATATTCACCAAGTGCCCATCCTTGTGACCAGGGTACAGATGCTGTTCTATCTATCTCCTTACTTTTGTGGTTTGGCAGCATACTGGTTGGTAAGGGATAGCTCCTTCTGAGACAGCAGAGGGCGCTCCTAGGAACACCATGACCCCCAGACAAGAAGGAAACCACAGGCAATGTAAGTGCGTCTAGTAAGGGAGACAAAATGCAGGTGTGTTGTGGACTATACAGCCTCCAAAGCCAGACTTCTAGTCAAAGAGCAAGCAAGAAACACTAGAAGTAATGGCACAGAGCTTCTGCAAAACAGAAGTTGAGGCAAGTGGATAACAAGTCCAAGGCCAGACTGAGTTAGAGAGTGATTTCCAGACCCAAAAGGGAAGATAGGCGGGAAGGAAAAGGCAGTGGTGAGCCAGGAAAGAGGAATACAGAAATGGAGGGATGGAAGAGAGAATCCCAGAGACTCTGGTGTAGTAGAAAATCCCTCTACTGCAATGGTCCACACCAACTGAGAAGCCATCTCCCAGGCTCCACCGAGGTTGCCATTCTGCTGCCCGGTGATGAGATCCAGAAAAGGGCGGGGCCTCTCATCTCTTGGTGGTTGCATACTAGCTGAGCAAACCTGGCACAGGGTCCTTGGAGGGCTAGCGATCCCTCAAACTTCTCCCCCTACCTGGGAAGCCAAGGCACTCTGTTCTTCCCCCACCCTCCAGCTGGTTGTGTAGGGGCCAACGCTACTGCAGGGGGGTCAAGAAGAGCCTCTCCCTGCACTGTCCTGGATGCCCCAGTCCCAAAACAACCCCTACCTGCCCTGGTTGATTTTGCTCCACTGTCCTGAAGACATGGTTCGATCATTCAACTCTCCAGCAAAAGTCCAGCAGGACAGAGCTCCATCTGCAAGCCCTGGAGGGGGCAGAGCTCAATTCTCACATGGGCTCTCAGTTCCAGCTCTCCCCGTACTGATAGGAGGTGGGGTATTGGCCCTTCACAGGTGGAACATAGGTGACCTCTTACAGAAGATGCCGAGAAACCTTTGTAGACATGAGTGGGAAGGGGACCTGAGGAAAGAGTACCTACGTGCCCCATTCGGCGGAATCTGAAAAAGTTCTGCAGAGAACAAGGATGTACCCTGCTGGTGGGTACTTAGGCTAACCCTGTGTCTGGAGAGCCAGAAGCCTCTGGAACGCTTCTCACCAATGCTCTAATCCCCAGACCACAGCACTGGGAAGGTGGAGGCGCTGGAGACTTTTCTGATTGGACTCAGGTTTCTACACCATCCACAGCCCCGGTTCTCCCAGCGATTCGATAATTGGGTGGGATTTTCACTGAAAAGGGGACAGTTCAAAGTACTGATGAGCCAGCTCTCCTGCCTCATTCCAGAGTTCTTCCTTCCTTCCATCTGAGGACAGGGGTCTAGCAGGGACTCAGACTAGGAAGGGTGGACGGAGGCCAGACTTACTTCAACCAAGTGGCCTCACGATAAACTTGGGTTTCCTGGTGCCAACTCCAGGTGACTCCTGGAGCCAGGGTCTATAAAACCATGGATGGCATCCTCAACATAATGACCTCCCTTTACTGATGGTAACCAAATATGGACTTTGGGTGGGCAGGCCCCGGGGAGCAGCCTGACTGTCTCTTCAGTCTGTACTAAACTTACAGAAAGAGCTGGCCACCTCCTGCTCTGAGAAACAACGCTGCACGGGGTGCTCCCCCATCCCACACCACCACCACCACCACTGGAGACCACTTCACGCTCCCAACCCCAAGCCACAGGGTGAGTCATCACTCAAGACCAAGGGTTCTAGAAGTGGACAGTACACCATTAATAAGCTTGAAACTTGCTGGGCCATGGTGGCTCTTCCTTCAATTCGAACTGTCACGAAATTCCTGCTGAGCTTCCTCCCTTTATAGCCTCAAGTGCCTGATGGGAGGTGTTTCTTACCTGTCATACCTTTAGGTGCCCCGGGGAGCGGCTGGGCTCATCCAAACTCGTACCTTATCCTCAAATTACAAAACTCCTTAGGGTCTTTCCCTGGGCTACAAAATTCTGCACACGGCTCAGTCAGGAGGAATCAGTGTGTGTGACTTTGGAAAATTCTCTTTGCCTGTCCAATCGGAAAATAATAAGGCTTGCCAAAATCGTCAGTTTGGATTTTTGTTTGTTTGTTTGTTTGTTTTCCTGAATAGGCTGCCTTGAACGGAGCTAGAAGTGGTGGTTCCAGAATCTGAGCCCAAGAACAGCAGCTTCCTTCCAGTGGGCTTTTGTGTTCCCTTCCCTGGTTGGATATGAGGAAGAGTGTTGAGGGATCAGTTCTTGGACTTGGAGTCCCAAACTACTACCTGCCTAGAGGGTTCGCAGTGGTCCCTGCTCCGGGCGGGTGGCTACAGACTGACTCCTACTCCTGATGAGAGGAGTTGGAGTCATGGACGAGAGGAGCTTTCACGCAGCCAAGAACAAGAGACAGGATGTAGCAGAACATTAAAAAAATTAAATTATATTAAAAAAAAAAAAGCGCTGGAGTGGTGACTGTGTGTCTTTCTTGCCGTGAGCTCGGGGCGCCCAGGGTTGGAGATTCAGGTCGTGGCAGAGTGATCCCGATGGGTTGAGATCCAGGAAGAACCAAGACCGAGGACTACGCCGTAGGATTCCCCGCTGGCATAGCTGGGCTTTGGAAGGCCACTAAACCCATGTGCAGAAGAATACCCCATGCACACCTGGGCAGATCCAATACCCTGTGCATCCCGGCGCGCATTGCACACCGGCACATACCTGCCTTGCCCCAGCACCCCGCGCGCACCCTGGTACCCCCCATGAACACCGAAGCACTCTGACACAGTGCAAACACCTTCAACACCTCAGTGTCGGGCACGTTCTCATTCACCCTAGGACCTCGCGCACCCACGGCCGCGGGAGGGGCTAGCGCCGCGAGGCTCCAAACCCCCAGGGCCCCGCCCGCCCCCCTCCCGC